CCCCCCCTCCCAAGAGAAGGAGGAGGGGGGTTTTGTTTTGGGAGAGTGGAGGAGAAGGGGAGGGTCTGTGTTGTGGGGGGCTTCTGCCACTTAATGGATAGGTGGCCATTACAGAGGAGGGCGGGCATCGGAGGGACTAGGGGCCGTTGGTGGCCAGTGGGCCATATGTGGCCCACACAATCCTCCCACCTGTCCTTGTTCTTCTGCATCAGATTGAACCCCTTTGTGTGCAAATGTTTACACAGTAGCAAAGGTAGTGTCCATTAAAGGGAAGGGTGGGCATCGGGTGACCCCTGGGCCTTTGGTGGCCAGTAGGGCATACGTGGCCCACACAAATCCTCCTGCCCCCTCTTGTTCCTCTGTTTCAGGATGGTGTCTCCTTGTGTGCAAATAAGGTAGCAAAGGAAGTATTTGGGCTGAAGTTGTCCATTAAAGGGAAGGGTGGGCATCAGGGGGTCCCCGTGCCATTAGAGGTCTGTCGGCATACTCCTGCCACTTCTTGTTCCTCTATCCCAGGATGGGATATACAACTGGACACTAAAGTTAGAATTGTTCAAGCCATCATATTCCATGTACAGATATGAGAGCTGGACGGTGAAGAAAGCAGATAGGAAGAACATTAATTCATTTGAGGCGTGATGCTGGGGAAGAGTGCTGAGGATCCCATGGACAGCCAAAAAGACAAACAAATGGGTTCTTGAGAAGATAAAGCCTGAACTCTCCCTGGAAACCAAGATGACAAAATTGAGCCTGCTGTACTTTGGCCAAATCATGAGAAGACAGAACTCATTAGAAAAGATGATGCTAGGAAAGGTGGAGGGAAGTAGAAAGAGAGGAAGGCCTCATGCTAGATCAGATCTGCACAACTTGGCAGTAGGAAGGGGCCAAAATTAAATACTCTAAACTTCTTTGGGCTACAGATAGGTTTTGATTAGATTAGATTAGATTTTTTAATATTCCGTCCTCCTCCTCCTCTGCCTGGCCCTCTCCTCAGGAGAAAGCTGAGTAGTGGAGGAGCCTTGGCTGTCCTTTTCTTCCTCCATCCGGACTTCTGCTCAGGAGAAGGCTGAGCAACAGAGGAGCCATGTGGGGTGAGTGTTGGCCCCTCTTCCTCCTCCGCTGTCCTCCGGAGAATGTCAGGTGGAGGAGGAGCCTTGCAGGGAGAACGTTTTCCTGTCCTCCTCTTCCTCCACCTGCCCTTCTCCTCAAGAGAAAGCCGAGCAGCAGAGGAGCTTTGTGGGGTGAGCGTCCGCCCTTCTTCCTCCTCCTCCTCCACATTGTCCTCTCCTCAGGAGAAGGCTGTGCAATAGAAGAGCCTTGAAGTCATTCCACATCTTTGTGGGCGACCCAAAATCCTTTGGTGGGCCGCATGTGGCCCCTGGGCCATATGTTGTGCAGGATGGATGGACTCAATCAGGGAGAACATGAGCCTGGGCCTGCATGAATTGAGCACAGAGTTAAAGGATGGGGGGCTTGGAGACATCTCATTCAGAGGGTCACCAGGAGTCAGGAATGTCTCAAAAGCAACAAACAACAAGGTATCCATTAAAGGCAAGGGTGGGTATCAGGTGGCTGATGGGCCATTGGTGGCCCATGGGCATCCTCCTGCCTCCTCTTGTTCCTTTGTCCCAGGATGGTGTCTCTTTGTGTACAGATGGTTTGTTGTGGTGGTTATTGTTGTGTGCCTTAGAGTCGTTTCTGGCTTAAGGCAACCCTAAGGCAACCCTGTCAAGGGGTTTTCTTGGCAAGGCTTGTTCAGAGGTTGGTCATTGCCATCCTCTGACTCTGAGAATGTGTGACTCTGCCCAAGGTCATCCACAAAAAACTATGGATGCCAGCAATTAAAGCCTTCGACTTCACGTCACCCAGTGGGTTTCCATGGTCAAGCTGGGATTCAAACCCGGTCTCCAGAGTCGTAGTCCAGTATTCAAATTGGTACACCACACTGGTTCTAGTAGGTGTCCATTAAAGGTAAGGGTGGGCATCAGGTGGCCCATGGGCATCTTCTTGCCTCCTCTTGTTCCTCTGTCCAAGGATGGAATCTCTTTGTGTACAAATTGGTTGCTGTTGTTGATGTTGTTCTGTGTCTCCAAATCATTTTTGACTTATGGCGACGCTAAGGCCAACCTATCATGGGCTTTTCATAGAATCCTAGGTTGGAAGAGACCCCAAGGGTGATCCAGTCCAACCCCATTCTTCTGTGCAGGAAGACACAATCAAAGCACTCTCAACAGATGACCATCCAACCTTAAAACCAAAGAATGAGATTCATAGATTTGCCATTACCTTCTTCTGAGGCTGAGAGAGCAGGGCTTGCCCAAGGTCACCCAGTGGCTTTCCATGGCCAAGAGGAATTCAAACCCTGGTCTCCAGAGTTGTAATCCAACGCCCAAACCACTATGCCAGCCTGGCTGCCCTGCAAATAGTCACAAGGTAGCAAAGGAAGTATTTTGGGTGAGTAGGTATCCGTTAAAGGCAGGGGTGGGCATCAAGTAGCCCGTGGGTTGTAGCCCATGGGTAGCCCTTGGGCCATTTGCGGCCTGTGGGCATCCTCTTGCTTCCTCTTGTTTATCTGTCCTACAGTGGGGCCTCTTTGTGTGCAAATGGTTAGAGGGTAGCAAAGGAAATATTTCTCCTCTCCCCCCTCTGCTCTGATAAGGCATACTGGAAGAAAATGGTAAACCAGTATGAGATCCCAGTAGAAAATATCATGCCAATATGAATGGGTAAATGTATGTGTGTTGCCCTTCTCCTTCCTATAAGTTTTCTTCTAAATAGAGCCAGGCAGCGATCCTCTTAATGTCAGGCTGAGTAGGTGAGAGAAGCTCCTTGTTGTTGTTGTTGTTGTTTTGTTTGGTTGTTCTCTTGGGCCTTCAAATTGTTTCCCACTTAGTGACCCTAAGGCAAACCTATTATGGGGTGTCTTTGGCAAGTTTCTCCAGAGGAGGTTTACCATTGCCTTCCTCTGAGGCTGAGAGAGTGTGACTTGCCCAAGGATGAGCCCAGTGGATTTACAGGATTTGAACCCTGGTCTCCAGAGCCATAGTCCAGCACTCAAACCGTTATGCTACACTGGATCGTGAGAGGATCCAGTTTGCTGGTGCTGGTGGTGGTTTTTGTTTTTATCTGTAGGTTCAGTTCTGAGCTATTGTAGGATGAGGGTTTTTTGTAACAGCCTCTTAGAAAATAGGAAGGAAATATTTCTTCTCCTCCCCCCCCCCCTTTATAAATACAGTGGTGTTGGCAGCAGTGAGTTTATTTATTTATTTGTAGATTCGGTTCTGATCCATTGTAGACTAAAGATTTTTGGTAATGGAAATGTTTCTTTTTTCTCCATTTATATATACAGTGGTGCTGGTGGGTTTTTAAATTTATTTAATTTTAGGTTCAGTTC